TTAAAGTCCGCCCAAGTGAACTCTTGGGAATACAAAGAAGTAAAAGACGTGGCAGGGCTTGTCATTGAATACAAGCTAGATAACAAGCAGGACCCCGTGACCCACTCGACCCGAGACATAGCTACGAAAACGTCCGAAGTAATTGAAAATGGCCTCGCTGACCTATCTTCATCATCAGATCCCACAGAAAGCGACGACTCAGTTGTCATCAAGAAAGCCAATACAGAGAGACGACTCAGAAGACGAAGACGGTTTCAGGTACATTTTGCTCAAGTCAATCTAAAAGAAAAATAATTTCAGTGCTGCGACCAGACCAGTTCTACTGTAGTAGTAGTAGGGTAATGAACGAGTTATGAATATTTTAATTGCATAACTTACAAATATATCCTAAAGGAGCAGGCCCGTAGTCATGGGGTTCGAGTCGTTCAAACGAACCGCGTTTTTGCCAGGAAAAAGGTTTGCTCTGGGAAAGATTGATCTACTTGTAGGTACAGGATAGTGTCATATGGTAAAAGACCCGCTGTTTCAGTAAAAGCCTCCCCTTTGAAATTGATAGCTACGGGCCTGGGGACACAATACGATTCGCGCAGATCGATATAGGACTCCTTCCTATCCGCCAGAGTCAGCGTTAATTCCTTATAAGCGTATTTAAGAGTATGTCCTTGGTATTTCACATGACATTGTATTTTGAAAATCTGCTGGGCATTTCTGACCATGCTTTCAGACATTATTATTATTATTATTATTATTATTATTATTATTTTATCCACGTGTAGACAGTATGTTTTCAAAGATGTTGCACTATCTCCTTGTGCGAGCATGCATTTTGTTAAACTTTTAACATTTGCACATGCAGTATTTTACAAACTTGCACCCATTTATTTAAAGAGTTTCACACTATAGGCCTATACCATCACAAAATCTTAGATCAGGTGATCACCTTCTTATTAAGGCTTGTAAGGCAAGATTGGTGTCATACGGTGACAAAGATTTTAGAATTGCAGCACCTGGAGAAAGGAATAATTTACCCATCAATCTTAGGCAAATTGTAGACCCTGGACATTTTAAAAAGGAACTTAAAACCTACCTTTTGAAGCAATATTATTTTTAATTCTTGAAAGAATACTTTTTACGAACAATTGTTTTTAGTTCATAGTTCTAATTTTCACCTCTTATCCAATTTAAATATCTATTTTTTACTTTTAACATTTTTTCTATTATCATTTTCCTTCTATTCATCTTATGACCATTAGAAATTTTTTAATTGTGGATTTTATAAATTTGTATAGTCTATTGATCATACGTTGGATTTTAGACTTTAAATGATGATGATGATGATGGTTGTTGTTGTTGTTGTAATTATTACTAAATCACAATTTCTTTTTCTACATTTTATACAGCACGAGATGGTATTTCAGGCGAAACAAAAAACGAAACCAATGTCAAGTACCGATTCGGACAGCGAATTAGAACTTTCAGAGACCTGCATAATTGCAGAATATCTCGACGATGTAACCATCGACACATGCGGCGAATCAGACCACTTGCTCTATGCGCAGTTGCCTTCCAGGGATAGTAAAACGTTCGAAATCGTTCCCCAAGATAGCAACGGGACCCGCTGGACATGCTACGAGCCTGAAATCGCCTTTCGCCTTTCTATTCCGAACTCCGGCCTTCCGTGTTTACCACCATCTATCGGTCGGTACACGAGACTCAGAGTTTTGTATTTGACGGGCAACAAACTTCAAAATTTGCCACGTGACCTGGCCAAACTGCGCAACCTCGAACTGTTGCGTCTTGGGAACAACTATTTCAGGTCAATACCTGACGTCGTTTACCAGTTGACTGAACTTCGAAGCCTGGACATGTCGAATAATCGGCTCGAGACTCAAGGAATTACAGGTTACTATAACAATTGTTAAATATTCGAGTTTTCTACATTAAGAACATAAATTTCGGTTAAACGATATTTCTTAAGTCCTAACATTTTAGATCATTATGCAAATTATCTCATTAAAAAAGTAAGCATGCCACACAGTGAACCCTTAATTTAAAACGATTTCAGCTGTGCATTTAATTTTTCTATCGTCAGGTAATATTAAGAAGTTGACAAAACTGGAGAGCCTGGTACTCAACGCAAACGAGATTCATGAACTCAACATTGGCATATTTGATCTGGAGCACTTGATTTTTCTTGATGCCTCGCGCAATCCCATTTCCGTCATACCAAAAGAAGTTCAAAAGTTGAAGGTTAGATTTTTTTTACACAAACCACTTGACTAAATGTGGAAAATAAATCAGAAGGAATGGTTGATTTTTTCTTTTCTCTTCATTATAAAAAACTTTTGTTTCAGTGACGTACATGTATTTTACCTTTTGTTAAATATATATACTATTTACCAGTAACGCATAAAGAGTACGTTTCTTAGAGTAAATATAACAAAAGAGAAGCCAGTTTCTCTCCAAACCTCTTGACTGAATGTGGAAAATAAATCAAAGGGAATGGTTGATTTTTTTTTTCGTTTTTCATTAGCAAAAACTTTTGTTTCAGTGACTTACATGTATTTTACCTTTTGTTAAATATATATTCTATATAATATTCCAAATTATACTTTAAATGCATGCATACATGTACATGTATAAACATGAAAATATCGGAGTATATACAAATGTTTCAGAAATTGGAGTACCTTCGCCTCAAAATGTGCCGTCTGCAGACGCTACCAGAAGAGCTTGGCGACCTCCCAAGATTGGTGACTATTTGCGTGTCTGAGAACATGATCAGCAAAGTTCCTGTCGAGAAATTCCAGAAGATGGGACAGCTTCGAACAATTTGTCTGCATTCAAACCCACTTTTCGAACAAGTGGAAGCCCTGGTCAAGCTGCGGCAGTTGAAAGATGTGAGGCTGTGTCTAAATTACGAGCCATCAGCGGAATATGCAGAAAAATGTTGTTTGTGTTAACTGCAGATTTCTGTAGTGGACTGAAGAGAGACGAAAACAAAATGCACATAAATGAAGTAAGTTTGTGAAACTTTACATAATATGCGCATGAACGGAAGCAAGTGTCTCAGGGCACATTGGGAAAAGCAATGAAAAACAAAATGTATATGACGTTGATGGCGTTATTTCCATTTGCTTGAAACTTTATGAATGGTATTATTTCATTATGTATAAACTGTTAAAAGTCGCATTATGAAAGCAAAATATATGATACTTCAACCAAAACTGGCGTCGCGCTGAATTAAAATCTAATGTCTTGGAAAAATATCTAATACAGTAATTGGCCTATACACATATGGTATGTACTAGTTGCTCTAACACAGTTATTCTAATAAGATGGACTTAAATTTATTTACTTGTGATATCACATGAATATCTAAAATTTTGATAGTGTATAAAATAATTAATTCAGAAATAAAATCAATTAAGCTTATTTTAAGTGTTCACTTTGAACAAAAAAAAAAACAGAACATTATTCCAAACGTGGGCTTTCATATTCATGACAGGCCCTCCAAGCAGTGGCAGACGAGAGGAAAGTTCACAGTCACGGTCACAGTGGTCGCCACGAGGGGTACTCCAGAATTCTCTCTCTCATTTGGAACGCCGATCTAAACTTTCAGTTACCGGTAGAGCTGAAAGGCTATGTCCCGCTTCACAGAAACGATAAATATTAAAAAAAAAATACTTCGGAGAGCATTGGCGTAAATTTGTGGAAGATGGTTCGAGTTGAGAGTTAACTGGTTGCATTCAGCGAGAGTCCTCACAGAGTTAGATCGATCTACGTAATACAAAAGACTAATTGTGAATGAGCCCACTGAGTTATGCCAAGTTCTACAGTGGAATCTCAATCAATGTAGAACGTAAATTAGTTAAGGATAGTCCTAGCTTTTGAGTATTTGCCTTCTTTTGGGAACGAAAGCCTGGGTATACTTATAGTTTTATATTAATTATAAATTCTATCAATAAAAAAATTTAAATCTTACAATAGTGGGCAGAGGCACTCATAAACTAGTATTTACACCTCGAAAGGGGCGGAACCTAAAGTGCGACGCTTGCGAATTTTCATTCCGTAACTTTCAGTAAAGAAGTAACAATTTAACACAATGCAGCTAGTAGATTTTTCTCAACGATCTGAATAATAATATAAAACGCTTTCAAAAGAACAACGAGTGCGTAATAAGAAGCATCGTATTACCCTGTAGAAATGAGAAACATTTATCACAGAAAGGGAAGAATTTCCCTTTTCATTGAAATTTTAAGTTTTTAAAACCACTTGTAATTTGTCTTTATCTACAAGAAAACTGGTTTGAAAGAAGGGTGTGTACAGAGGTAACAAACGCGTTTACGTCATTTTTCTCACTTACTTAAGTGGCTGGCTCAGGTGAAGGTTTCGTCTTGCTGAAATCTTTTTGCAAAACCATACATCTCTCGTAAGATGTCCCTTCAACGCGCTGGACTGCAATTAAAATTGCCAGAACTGCAAGAGCCGGCCGTAGTTGAAGCGCCATTTTAATCGACCTTATCCAGGCGGTACGAGAATCTTCGCGATGACCTGGCTTTCACTAATCAGTTAATTTTAATATTATGGTGCGCATGGCGTCTTCATCAGAGTAAACCCAGTCAACTAAAATGAAGTAACATTGGTAAAAATTTCTATTTCCTTTTATGAAATAAGGACAATTTTAATCTATTTAATTCAACTCCTTCCGACTTATCGTAGTGTCGGTCGATGGTGTACTATTACGTAAAAATAGAAAGAAAAAAAAGGTGTCAGCGATGAGTCGTCATACGACATGAACATACGAGGTCAAAATATGAAATTTTGCACAGATTTTGAAATAGTTCTTGATGGATCAGATAAATTATTTAGTCTTCATAGGCTGCAAGCTTGAGATATCCAAAATGGCTCACATATGTAAAATGGCGGCTCATCATTAATAAATATTGCATTAAATACAGTAACAAATCACACGAAGGCAATTTTAAGATGTGCATTATTATTCATCAAAATGAACAATCTACATAAACAGCATATAGCTAGTAAATATTCACAATAATTGAAAGCCTCGTCATGTACACAAGTCCATTCACTTGTATCGTTTTATATATTTATATTACACAACTACAGGTATATGCAGAACATGTATATCCACTGCAGTAGATTTATAGGCAAGGCATACATCAGTAAATATTTATTTAAGCAGTTTTATAATCACTGATATTTATACAAAAATCAAAAGGAGGAAATATTAGCATATACAAAAACTTCATAGATTTTTTATCACCCATTGATCAAAATATTTCATGTTAATCAGCGATCAGAAATATGAATAAAAATGTTTTTCTCGAAATGTCTTTTTGGTACTATTTTTAAAACATTTTAGACAACAATACAGACTAATTTCGACACTTTCAAAAAGGTAAAAGCAGTGACTCCGTAAAAAAGCCAAGCACCATAAAACATAAGATTTTTATCAATCATAATAAATAGGATCAAAATAATTGTACCACAAATTCATAAAAATCGTCTTTAAGCACATCTTAGCAAGTATCACTGAATATTTATCATCTGCAAAGCAATTCTGCAAAACTACAAATATTATCAACAAGATAATTCTCAAAACTGTTTACAATACACTTTTATATGTAGGCTAATATTATCAAGAATATTTGTACAAACTGTACCATGATGTATAAAATAGTCATCATTTTACATAACACACCGTCTTTTTATTCACTGTATATGATATCACAATATGGAATATTTCAAGTGTACTTTATACAATGCCTGTTATTTATCAAATAAAGTTATCATACAAATATTTCTGCCTTAATTTGATGTTCTTTTTTTAACAATCATACAGGCATTGTGCTAAAAATAATTTGATCCAATTACAGCTGCACACCTGTTAATTTATTCTTTGCTGTATCTTTGCTGTTTTTTCACAACTATATTTAATAATTTTTAGAGTTGACTTATTTTTCAATATAAATTTTACATTAAAAACTTGTTCCACTGCAAATTGTACATCCAAGTCCTGTGTGTGCAATTTTACACAAACTTAATATGGCAATAAGGAGTTTTCCACAACTTTAACATAAAAATGTATCACAGTTTGCACCCCATTTCTACCTTGTTTACCATCACATTGTAAACATTTTTATCCTATTAGAAGTGTAAGTCATGGGTGAGAACAAAAATGGAATAACACTGCAAAACTATTGGAAACAATAAGTTAATTTTTACTTACCATTCTAAGTATTTCAGTGCTAAAAGCTATTCACAAACTTTTCCACTGTAGTTCAAAATTGGGTTAGTTGAAAATTGTGTATAAGCTAAGCCTTCTCTGCTAAAGAATGTTAAGTCACGGGAATCTAAATCACTTACTGTTCCTATTTCAATTAACAGAATCAAACAAAAATTTCCATTTTGCCGTTTCCACTTGGTATAAAATCTAAGGTCCATTGCACATTAACAGAGAATGCTGCTTGACCTATAATATTATAGGTGGCGCTTTTAAGCTTAAAAGTATCACTTGTCCTCTTGGTCCCATCCTTATTCTTCTATTTCACTTCCCTTAGTTTTTATTTGCCTCCATAAATAGAATGTAAAGATACATTCTTCCAGGAATGCCGATTGCAATCACTCAGAGTAATAACGTCACCAATAACTGTGTACTCCAGTCTGCCAGAGAAGCCTAAACCTAAGCCTCCTATAGAAAAGACATACATTGTACTGGAATGAAAATATTGATATTCAGATAAAATGACTTACTTGGTGGAGACCAATTAAGCCACCTTGCACTGCCATAAAATAAGCCTCGCGTCCTCCTGTTTCTTGTCCCTTGGAGTGGCAACGTTCCAATTTAAATACCCATCTCCTCCACTTACAACGATCACAGACTTACAGTGCAAATTATGCAACTTTCTGTCTGAGGACTTTGCCGCATCACTTTCATCCACATCATCACTAGCAGGGGTGGCAATGTCCTCTTCTGTTTCATCTACAGACTCGAAACTACTGGTCAGTTCGGAAGATGTTCTGTTGTAGCTGCGCAACTTCACAGCTGAATCGAAACTGAAGGTATGGGCTGTTTCCCCAACAGCAGGGGACGCCATACTTTTTACCCGACGTTTGGGAAACATTATTGAAGCAGTTTTAGTTTTTCGATAACGGAGGAGGTCTGCTCCCGTTGCCTGTAGAGTCATGTACCCATGTTCTCCAGAAGTCTGCACCAAGACGTCTTCATAATCTTCCGTCCCAGTGCCTTTCAGCAAGCTTCCATACAACACCGAAATATCATCATCGTACTCCACCTTGTCAATGGCATCCAATCCGATTGGGGTGGACTTCCATTTGGACTTAGCATTAGCTTTAAGTGGTTTAAAACTATGCTCAATGCTGTAGCTACGAATAACCTCCCTGTCAGATGTTCTCTCAGTTTTCTCACTGACATGGGAAAGGGATATTCGCCTGATGTCTCCCTTGCTCTTCCGCTTTGACTTCGGGGAAACCACTGCTGGCATGGTCTGACTTCCAGAACCAGACGCACTCTCTGGTGGACATTTGGGAGATGTAGCTTTGGGTGAAGGGGATGACAAAGGCGAAGTTGCTGAAGCATCGCCTGCAGAACAAGGCAGCTCCAGTCTGTCCGTATCCTTCACATCAACATTTTCGCCATTGGCATCTCCCTGGAAACTCTCCGCCCGCCCAGGAACAGGGTCAATGATGACCTCGGGGCAAATACCCACCAAAAATTTGACAGGACCAATATGGGTGTGGCATGACACGCTGGGTCCTCGACTGATGAGGGGTACACCCTCCAACCTGGGGAGGGGGAGAGACAGGGTTATACCTTTGTTGGTACCAATCCACAGGATACCTCTGCTGGCCATGAGACAGGTGATGGCTATACCACGTGAGAAATCTGTACCAGGTTTTCTGGCTTTATCTGGAAATATGAATATCAAATTTCAATGGTGGTGCTTTATTCTGTATTGACCTTTCTGGGGCATAAGGGCAGTTCATTTGAACCCCAGGCTATAGGTCTTATCACATGTTCAACACAATGACAAGGAAGCTTTAATTTTATTACAATCATTCCTTATGATGTCAGCCTTTAAATGTTTTCAGTTAAAATGGAGACAGATGCAGCCATGTTTACTTACGTTTCAGTGCCCTGGTGACGGCCGACGCTATGTTAATGTCCTGCAGATGTTGGAACGTCTCCACATGGTAGAGGCGGATCAGGGATTCTTCTTTAAATGAGATCCAGAACCCGCAGCCAGACTGCACCATACACTGTATACAACCACTCTTCTCTACTGTCAGAGTTTTCTACAAGAATTATTTCAGAAACCATATCAGAGGCAAAACTAATATGTATTCTAGGACAGCATAGATTGCTACAATTATTTCTTTTCCATTTATCAATTTTAAGATATATATACTGCTGTGAATGATTTTAATGTCTCCTACAGAAAAGAAAATGGAGACATCTTACATCAAGGTGAGCAGAAACTTGATGAAAACAAGTTAATGCACATTTATGTATATATCTATGTAAAATGTTTTGTGATACACATAGTAAAATGCACTAGTACCATAATAAATCATTATCACAAATCACATTATATAAAGTAATCAATTCATGTTCTCAGACAGAAATCATGCCTCACTCCAATGTACTGTATTGTTTTTCATCTCTTTTATGAAATAAGATGGTTAATATGAGGTTTCTGGTCCATTTTGATGAAAGAAAATATGACTCTGCCTGGTTGATGCAAACACAAAGCCTTGTGTTAAAGAAGACTGGGAACAATCAATTATTCAAAAACATGCTTTTCTGGCAGCATTCAAATAAACCGCCTCTCCTCCTTCTTTGAAACATAACATTTTTTCGAAATCAAATGGATCATAAAACTAATATTCCATAAGGTCATGCCATCATTTTGGATACTAGCAAATTGCTTCTAATCTGCAATTGGATGACCAAAAAGTAAGCTGGGGAGAGTGTGGGAGAGGGTGGGTGGGGGAGGGGGGGGGGACATTTGTTACAGTACCTTCTTGTGTAAAAGCTTGTCTAGTATGACTATGGTCTGAAATTTTCATCAATGAAATGAAACTATTTTGCTGCTGTCAGGATTGATACTGAGAAAGTTCTATCCCCAC